ATCGGTTTGTGTGAGAAACCGAACAGTATTTATATAATTTTTTACCTCTAATACACCACTATTTCCAACTGCTTTGAGCACGCGCAGGCATCCGGTGCGTGAGGTGTGTATGCGCTCTGGTGTAGTTTACGCAAGCGCCAGAAGTGATCTCTCGCGCGTATACATCACTCATTGTTTACACAGTGCACAGTCATTGTAGGTACGACGGCTAATCGAAATGGTACTTACTTGCGCTTATCCGGATTGTTCAAATCGACTTAAAACTAAAAGATTACGTTCTCTCGCGCGAACTCATTCGGGAGTGGTGACTTTCCACGTATTCCCAACTTCTGAGCCTGCTCGCCTGAAGTTATAGTTGATTGCTCTTCGGCTGGATATCAACACACCCATTAATGTAAACTACGCCAGAGCGCGTAGTTTAGACATCGTGGTGTATTAGAGGTAAAAAATTATATAAATACTGTTCGGTTACTCGCACAAACCGATCGTTTCGTGTTTTAGGACATCAATGTGTCGTCACGAGCCGCAGGGTTTAATTTTGATTTGTCTGTGCATGTTTTTTTTACTCTCATAGATTTTGTTACCATTGTCATGCATTATAAGACTGATAGACTGCAACAGTTAAAAATCATCATTTGTGTTCTACTGAAGAAACAAAGTCACCTACATCTTGGATGCCCTGGGGGTAAGCAGACAAACATCAGATTTCCTTTTTGGGTGAACTATCCCTTTAAGCAAAGCTGAATTCATGACAGATTGCTTGATAATGTTTCTGTTTCTAAGCAAACTGTTGCAGCATCATGTGTCTTTAAAGAAGTTGAGAGATGAAAATGTGGGTAAATGTTCCTCTCGTGGTTTTGCGGAAAGAAAGCAGGTGTTTGATGAATAGAGACAGGTGGCATTGGTAACTATTGGTGCTTAAGATCTAATATCAAATGAGAGTGAAACAGTAAAAACTTCATTAGAAAGCTCTTTTATATATATATATATATATATATATATATATTAGGACTGGTAAGCACATGATGTGGTGATTAATTAATCTAATTAATCACAAATTAATCGCGCATCAAATTTGGCTGAGAAATTACTTCCAAACGTTACAAAAAGTAGCTTCAGCAAGAAATATTTTTTGATGAAATGTATTACATATACTCTTTTGGACCATAAGGGTGAGTAAATGATGACACAACTGTCATTTTTGGGTGGGTGAATTATACCTTTAATAATTTATTTGATTGATTGTATTATTATTACTATGGAAATATGAAATTATTTCTTTAATGAAATGATATTCAAAATAATAAAATAAAACTGCCAGTAGGTGGTGGTAAATGTCTTAATGATTAAGTCATCGAGTCATTTATTCATTCATGTGATTCGTTCAAATGGCTGATTCATTCAGGAGTGAAGTAAATGGTTCTTTAAGAATGGTCCATTGAATCATTAGGCTTGTTCGACTTGAAGCGGATCATCCTCATCAGACTGATCGGTGTGCGACATCAAAGTACTGTGAGCGCTATAGAGAGCAGGCGACACTGCATGTTTTTGAATCGCTCTCGCGGTACTTTGATGTCATACACCGATCGATCTGTGCAGCACCGCTTCAAATCCAACGCGCCTATGGCCAATGGTTGAACGAGCCAAACGGTTCAACTTCACCCAATTCGTTCAAAACGTCCATTAAGAAATTAAATGCCGCTGTGTGTTGCTTGGAGACGATCAGTTCTGCTTTGTCTTTATATTTTTGTTGCCAAAATTGAGCAAAACAGACAACATTGTGTCTAAAATACAATATTAACTTCTTACTTACTGAACTGTTGTATAAGATCAGTGTCACATTTGCACTCGTGTGATATTGCACTTAGCCTATTGCTCGTGTGATATTGCTTAACTATATGATGTAAATATGAGATAAAACTCAAACAGTGGCATTTTTGTCCCATATCTTGAATTTTAGGGACATTCTAACAACGTTTTCTTGCCTCCATCATGCAGTGAGTTGTTGCCCTGCATCATATTTGTTATCAATCAACTAGTGTTGGGTCATTCTTGAATGATTCGTTCATTTTGAACGAATCTTTAATGTGACTCGGGAAGAACGAGTCGTCTCGGGGAGTGATTCGTTCAGTCGCGCATGCGCAACATCATATAGGTTGTACTGGAATTAGTCAAGTAGTTCACCTGTTTCGAGCCTTCGGGTTTTTCCGAGTCGTTCGTTCATCACGTGACAGCCCCATAAGTTTAACCAATGCAGTCTGAGCCGGAAAGAGAATTGATTAGTTCATCTCTCGAGTCTTCGGGTTTGAGTCGTTCATTCATCACGTGACAGCCCCATAAGTTTAACCAATGCAGTCTGAGCCGGAAAGAGAATTGATTAGTTCATCTCTCGAGTCTTCGGGTTTGAGTCGTTCATTCATCACGTGACAGCCCCATAAGTCCAAACCCAAAGACTTGTCAGATAAGAGGTGAGGTGAGCTAATCATAGACTGAAGACCCAGGTAAACAAAGAATTAATCTTTTCTGTTTCTTATAGCAGTTTTGTATCATTTGTAGTGTGATCAACATTTGCGTAAGTAGTAGACGTATTAGGGAAGTAACACGTAACATTTTAATTATATTTTGCTAAAATGAACGAAATGACTCGAAAAAAGATTTGTTCATTTTGCTGAACGAGACTCAAAGGTCCGAGTCGGTAAAATGATCCGCACTTCCCATCACTAGCACATATGCGACAAATGATATCAGAAAAGTGTCAGTATGTTATAATCAGTTATGGTCTATAACTATATATATATATATATATATATATAATTTCTGTTCAAACAATAATAAAAAACGAAAAAAAAAAAAATCCATTACATTTAATTTACAAGTTATATTTGAAGAAATTGCATTCCAGTCATTTCAGGACCCTTTATTTCAACTGTAAAGGATCACTTCAAGTCCCATCTGGAGCACAATGGGAAGGTTGCCACTATCACATCTCATTTCCCAAGGCAGCAGGCTCTATAAATGACATAAAATCCATGGCCCTTAACTATTGACACTGAAGGCCATCATTTGGCAATCAATGATAAATACATGTGTGCACATGTGGCTTTCTCTGACTACCAGAAGTGGATCAGACAAGCAATCTTTATTCCTCATCCACAATTGCTAACCCGACTTCATCATCTCCCAAGACCCAGTGGGGTACATTATACTGGGAAAAAAATAAGAAGGATTGGAGGAAAGAAGTATAGAGTCTTTGTTTCAATCCAAATCCTTTTTTTTTTTCTTGCTTTCAAGGGGGAAATTGTGGAGTGCTGCATGGCTTTTGCCACTTAAAAGAGGGTTAGGAATTATACGGTAGACACAAATGAATTTCCCAATCATACACTCAAGAGGAAAACTAGACGCAGATGTCGTCCTTGGCAGCTTCGCCGTGGTGATTTTTCTTTAATTTGAAGGCGATGGTTTTTGTTGTTTTCAAATGAGAATTCTTGAAAGCGTAATTTGCACGATTCAAGGAAAAAAAGGAGGACATGAGTCGAGAACCAGGAAGAGTAACTGTGATTGTGAGATTGTGTTTGTACAAGTGTGAGTGGATGGATGCTATGTGCCATGTGCACTGATGCATTTCCTGTCTCCTCATACATAGTGAAGTACGAGGCTCGAAAAACAGCTGGCTTGAGCTCTTCTCTAAACACTTAAACAGCCACACTTCATTGTTCACAGTGGATATGAGGAATTAACACTGCATTTGATCCCATGCATTTGATAAAAATACATTTCCACACTTAAAGGAATATTAAGAGTTCAGTACAAGTTGAGCTCAATCCACAGCACTTGTGGCATAATGTTGATTAACAAAAAAAACAACAACAACAACTCATCCCTGCTTTTCTTTCTCTTAAATAATACATATAAAATTATGTGATTCACATTTCTGCTTTTAAATCCTCAAAAATCATTCCCATTCACTTCCATTATGTGTCTAACCTTGATTTTTTTATATGTGTACTCGTGTCTTGTACTGAAGTCAAAATATTAATTTAAAGTCTTTCAACAACTTGGGCCACATATAAGATTCAGTATATATTTGTGCATTTAAACTTTTTAGGTTCAAGCTGTTTGACAAATGCACAATCACAATGAGAAAATCACAGCACAAAAGGACTGAGCAATAGAACCATTCATACAGACTGGCCTTAGTTCTGCTCTGGTAACCATAGAAACCTGTGATTTCGTGATGTGTGCAGTGTAGCGTCTGCGTAGGATCATGCATGATAGTTGGACTGTTTATTTAATTAAAGTACAGTACAGTATGCTCGAATCACACAGGCCAAGGTGTATTTAACAACCAGGCTGCTGTCGTTAGTGATCAGCAACACCACGCAAGAGTTAAAATGTCCCATCGAGAGCAGACAGACGGAGGCGACAAGTTCATCTAAGGACGTGTGCTAGACACTGCTGATGAATGAGCCACAGCGACTTGATTTATGGATCAGAAGCAGCACAGCTGGGATTCAGGTGGCTAATAAGTAGCACAAAACTAATTTCTCTCATGCTATCCACTGACTTTTACAGTTGTTTGTTCTAGAAGTCATTGAAAACAGCATCTCAGAGCCAAAACCAGTGCGCTAGGCCACAACAATGTCCATCTTCTGACTAACGCTGTTTCCCTTGCAAAAGCCACACAAGTCTCTTCCCTGTGCGCTTGTGGCCCAGCTATCGCCCTCACAATGGGGAAGTACTAAAATTACAGCTGCCCAGAAACAAGTGGTCCCCTCCTCACACACAATTCGCCTGATGTGTACACATGATAAAGGAGCCGATTCTATTTCTGGGGCTCCGCAGAGGAGGCTTAACTGTAAATGGGCTTGGTCTAAGTTTCCACTCAGGGTCAAAGCAAGCTGACCGGCTAGTGTGGTTAAATACACGCTCGCTTTCCCTGCGAGTTGGAACATCTCTGATTTCTTGTTGTGGTGTAACGGCATTTAATCATTTAATCCTGCTGTCCGTGTTTGTTGATTCGGTGTTGAGGTTTTAGGCAAGCCCTGGTTCTAGCAACTGAAAGAATTCCACATGTATTGCAACTTCAAGGACCCGTAAACTGCAGAGGTGTGGTAGGAGCAGATGCCCAGAAACAGTAAATTAACAACAAAAAACGACGCAGAAAGAAAAACTCAACGGACCTGCTATGAGACTCCACCTAAGAGGTAAAAAAAAGACTGGCTGCTTCACTTTCTCAATTGTGTTGGCTGACCTCTCCATATCTCAAAGCACAACCCTATGTGTCACAGATACATAAATACATGTAGCAGAGGATTTGCGGTTGTCTGAGAATGCCAGTGTGCCGGCCGAACAAATAACTGCCTGCGACAAACATCACCATGACACACTTTTGCTGGAACATGCTGGCAAAACACCACTTAAACCACTTTTTAAAAAAAAGTTCAAAAGATAACATTTATTTGAAACAGAATGTTTTAACTTTACTCTCACCTCTGAATAATGTAATGCATTCTTGCTAAATAAATGTATATATTTTTTAAATACTTTTGAGAATGGTATTAATATCTATCTATCTATCTATCTATCTATCTATCTATCTATCTATCTATCTATCTATCTATCTATCTATCTATCTATCTATCTATCTATCTATCTATCTATCGTTTTATTTATTATTGAATTTATATATTTAATTCTGTTCATTGTTAATTCAATGCTAATTCAATTAATTTTTACTTATCTATCCATCCATCCATCCATCTATATACATAATATATACATACTTAAAAAGAAATCAGTCATTTTTAAACAAGAAAAATACTAAATAAAATCAAGCTTTAACTAAGGCTAAAGAGAGAGAGGAAACAAGACTCATGAATATTCCTGTCATTTTCTCTATTAGACCATTAAAACTGAGGCTGTTTGTGTCGTTTGACTCTCTTCGACTCTTGTTTCCAGAGTTGTGGCCTACATCAACTCCACACTGCGCCCTGTGTTAGCCTGTAGTGGGCACAATGGCTATATTTGATGGCTGTAGACCCTGAACGTGGACAGCAGGGCCACACTAACAAGTGGTACTTTTGTGCATTCCAGACAGTGTGGAGAGGAGGTCAGTTGACAGACCTCACCCTCACCCTCATACAATAGACCCCAGGCCAGACAAGGTTACCCAGCTGTGTCCCAGCAACCCAAAAGCCAAGTTCAAAACATCGACAGTCCCGCTTTAAATATCCATGCCATTTTGCAGTGACCACTGGCTAGTGGTTAAGACCGGCAGACCTTCATACACACACAGATGCAAACAGATGCACAGACATGCATACACAGACATCTACATATACCCAGAGACTCAGAGGCAACCACAAGTCAAAGCACCACTGTGACTGTATATCAAGTGGATTGTTTTTGTATACAGAAACTCTTATACAAACTTCTCAAAAGGATTGGGCTACTAGATGGTAAAGTAGTCCAAATATGTTTTAGTTGTTATCCTACAAAAGACATAAAGCAGAAGTACAGGGTGAGAAGAGAGTTGTGTGCTATCATGTTCAGATGAGCTGAAGCAAACAAACAGAGGACACAGGACAAACAGTACAGCATCTGGCTAATGCCAATATGCTTGTTTACCTCTTTACTAATAAAAAACCCTGATATTTACAAATCTTATAGGGACAAACTATATTAAAGAGCACACAAGATGAGTGTGAGCATGTGATTTCACCAAACCTGACAAATTCAGCAAGACAATTGTTTAATGCTAAAACTAAAAGGTTTAGTGTCATTAAGATTTTTTTTCGTAAGAAATTAATAGTTTTAATTCAGCAAGGATGCATTAAATTGATAAAAATGACAGTAAAGACATTTCTATTGTTACAAAATATTTCTATTTCACATAAATGCTGTTCTTCTGAACTGCCTATTCATCAAATAAGTCTTAAATTCATCAGTACAACTGTTTCAATCATAGATAATGATAAGAAATCAGCATACTGATTTCTGAAGAATCATGTGACACTGAAGACTGGAGTAATGGCTGCTGGAAATTCAGCTTCGCGATCATAGGAAAAATATTTTTAAATCAATTATTAAATATAATACATTAAAAAATTTATATATTTTAAAATATATAATATTTTTAAATCAATTATTAAATATAATACATTAAAACATTTATATATTTTAAAATATATTAAAACAGTTATTTTATAAAATTATACAGTTTATTTTTAAATTGTAATACTATTTCATAATGATACTCTTTTTACTGTATTTTTGATCGAATAAATGCATCATCAGAAAGCATAAGTGACTTTCAAAAACATTAAAATGTTCTTATCAAACTTTTGAAGGTAGTGTATATGCTGAATGATACACACATTAGAACAAAAACAAAATTGTTAAGAAATTATTTTGCAAGAATTGGAGTGAAAAAAGAAAAAGAAAAAAAACAAACAGTTTTCAATTACTGTGGCTGTTGGGTTTGAACCAATCCAGTTCAGCCTAATTCACTTAATGACTGAAGTCTGCTAAGAAATGACTGTGAATACAAGCCCAGTTTATACAAACAGAATTTTCAGCTGAATATCTGTGAGGCTGGTTAGAGCTGGAAGAGAATTTGTGCTGTTATTGGCTGAGTAAAAGTTGTGATGGAGAGGGAACATACTGTAGTATATGGGGATGCCGTCCTTACCAGCACTGGTGCCCGCGCCAGTGGAGAGATCAGTGCCCATCAGACCACCTAGCATGGGAAGAGAAAGACAGCAAGAGAGAGATTTCAGTCACTTCATTGGAACTGACATCCACATCCTACCACACAATCTTCCTTCTTAAAGCTGTCAGGTCATTTATTCAACGCCCTCAAGCCACAGAGATCTTCCTCCCTCCCAGCACGTTTAATAGCGATGGAGACCAAAAGACAAATAAAACGTGACAGAGACGTGTGTGTGTTTGTCTAAGAAGAACAAAACACTGTCCTTTTCCACCTCAGCACACTTTTCTGAGGGGGAAGCGATGTGGCCGGCTGGGCTCGGTCATGGTGTCCAAGAAAAATTACACATTTTTATTTTTAAGCATGCACGGGAGCAAGTGCGGTCAGAGGCGTGCAGGCTGGGCCAAAACTCATATTTAGACAAGCGCTCCTGGAATACAGAGCTGATTGCATCAGGAGAAAGCAGTTTTAATGACAGAGCTGTGGGTGAGAGACTCTATCTAATGAAGCAAGACAACACAATGACCACAAACGGCCAGCAGGATCGTGCTGTACGAACATCGGTCACAGGAATTACAGACGAAAGGATGAATGGATAGAAATATAGAGGAATGCTGATTATTAAATTAAATATTAATAATAGTTAATTATTCAGGTACATATTTAAAATATGAAGCCAGCATGAAAGAGAATTTGTAATTTTAAGTAGTATTTTTAATTATTATTTTAAAATAGTATTTTTTCTTGCCTCCGTGGGTTTCACTGAAAAAAAAGGCGTGCAACGATTTTCACTTCACTTTTTTTTTCAGTGTTGCTTGCATCAGCAGAACAGAAAAGTTGATTCAGAGGCAATGCAAGATATTTTATTTTAATAAAAAAAAAAATTCCAGAAAAATTTTGTTTTTACCTGCACTAGGTGGTCTGTGTGTGACCCCGGGTGACATGCTGTTTCTCTGCAGGCCGTGGTGGGCCAGTGGAAGCAGGTTATGATTGCCTGGGTATATCTGGTTATTCATGGGGATGGGCATCTCGTAGGTGGAGGAGGGCACAGCCTGGTTAGAAACAGAAACAATATATATATATATATATATATATATATATATATATATATATATATATATATATATATATATATATATTTATATATTTAATATATATATATATATATATATATATATATATATATATATATATATGTATATGTATATGTATATGTATATATACCATTAAGATAATAATTAGTAATGTAAACTACAATAATAATGGTGACGACTAAGAGTTAAACACACTGAATACAAAGGAGAAGTGGGAAAAAACAAGATAGACATATTGACTAATATGTTGCATGCAATGACATGACATTTTCATTGTCATTTTCATGACATTTTCTCTGTTATCTACCATAAATGAACAAGCCGAGATGACTCTAAACTCTCTAAATCTCTGTAAATCCTCTTGTTCGAATCACTCCAAAAGACACAGTCTTAACCTTGAAGAGACTCCTTCCTCCTTCATATTATGTTTATGTTTAAGGACAAAATAGCCCCTAATTGTAGCCCTGTGTCTTGAGGGTCTGTAAGTGCTCATCTGGGAAAGCATCAACTGACAGGAACTGAAGAGGAGCCTCTCGCTCTTTCTCACTCTTTCATTCTTCATTAACTCACAAGGCCACAGCAATCATAGCTTGAGGCAGCCAAATAATTTAAGGTCTTGGTGGGCACAGCTTCACTTTCGTTAGGTGTTCATCCTTCCGTCTTTACCCTCATGTTCTCTTTGGAGTCTCAGGGACCCCGAGGCCCTTTTAATAGCTTGAAAAATATTAGTTTGATGCTTCATGACTTTCTCTAATCTTATGAGAACTGGTTATAAACCAATTTCTAATCTGATTACACCAACCATTTGTTGTATTTTTTGCTGGAGTAAAATTCAAGCATGCTATTAAATAAAAAAAAAGTGCATGTTTAGATTCTGACAAAAAAAGAAGGATACTGCTTCAATAATATCAACCTGCTTTAATTAATAAAATGTATTAAAAATTATAGGAAAATAAGAGGTTAATAACAAAACTACTAAGTGCACGATTCAATACAAACCGAACATGAAGAATCTTTAGCATTTTTGTGCAACTTTCCTGGACTCTCTTGTGTCTTTATTTTATTTGTTTTTAAATGGAAAAGATTTCCACATCTTTATGTGTACGTGAGCCTAGGCATCTTCTGCATGGTGCCTTTCTCTTTGTGCTACTGTACTCTCTAACCGGGAAAATATAACTCAGTCACTGTGACCACTATCTTCACCACCATCATTTACCACTTCACCCAACCCAACCTAATTCTCCTAACCAATAAAACACTGTAGCTCACTGGACAAATCTTTAACCACACAAATGTACATCAGTATTTTGCTTTGAAACATCCTTAACTTCTCAAAATCATGTAAGATTTGAAAACTTTCAACTGACTGGAAATTATTGCTTATTTCATACAGCACTGGCAGGTAGACAAATAGACATATAGATAGATGATTGATAGACAGACAGACAGTAAAGTTTATTTCTCCTAATTCTGTGACACACATCAAGTCTTGCTTGCTTTTAGATTATTTTCATTTCATGTTATTTATATTGATGTAATATAAAATTATCATACATATTCCTTGTAAGCTGTTTTAAAAGACGCTGTAGAGACAACAGGATACACACGCAGGAAGGGCCAACCTAAAATTCAAACGCTAATATTTAACCAGGTCTGGGTACCAAAGAGAAAAAAATTCTAAATGTGATTTTAGCAGAGTGGAACAGGCCACAGTACAGAGATGCCTATAAAGCTGGTGCAAATAGATTAACAGAGAGACACCCAGTCAACCTAAAATTATACTTTTGATATATATATAACCATTAAGAACATGAACCAAAAATGGGATGAAGCTGAAACGTTGTGCTAAGCTTAAGCAAACAAGCTAGTGTAACATAAAAAGAAAGAATTGTGGGCTCTGCTGATATTTTAAAGTAGCAGTTTCTTTCTCTGCCACCTGATGGCCACCTTCTAGTAGGAATGAGATCTTCCTCTCACAGTAGAGTCGGCCTATGAGAGAGTGTCTGCCAACTTGGAAATGTTACTTTAGAATTAACACTTAAAAAAAAAAACCTTGCCACATCTTAAATTATTAATAATTTACTACACACCATTGTGTTCATTGAATGTAGTTAAAGATGAAATAAACACTTGAGGCACACTGCCACATGCTGCACCACAGACCCACAAAAAATCTTCAACTCTCTCGTGTAATTATCTGCACAAGGTTCTTGAGGAGTCTGACGTTTCATCAAAGTGAGACGTTCCACTGGATCAACTTTCTCTAAGTATGGCGTGGCGGGATATTAGCCACCAGTTAACATATGTGCAGCCCTCACACATAGTCCTTCTCTGCCTTCATCTGCCTGCTGCATCAATCACACGATAATTAATTTACTCTGCTGACGTGAGGGCTTGATGAAGACAGGTTTCTCATCCTCTTTTCTTTGCTATGACATGCTTCTTTTAGGTGTTGAGGGATTGTGTGGAGAGCGACAATGCGTGATGAGAGTTTTTTTATTCCTTTATACATATTGAGCTGATCAAATGCTTTGAAGACGAGTACCGGCATGGTTGTTTTGGGCGAATTAAATAGAAAATTATGGAAATTTTGAGATGTGTCAGTCATTAAAAAGACAAAGTAAACAACTTCATAATGTTCATAAATACACACACACCCACATACACACACACACATACATACATAAATAGAAATAAAAACAAAATAAATAAATGAAAAATAGTTTCAAAGTTGAAAATAAAAATAAAAATTACTGGAGTATGTTTTACAAGAAAATACGTTTTATACTTCACGTTAAATTAAATTAGTTACACTCTTAAAAATAAAGGTGCTTCAAAAGTTTCTTCAAGCGATGCCATAGAAGAACCATTTTTGGTTCCACAAAGAACAATTCAGTCAAAGGTTCTTTAAAGAACCATCTCTTTCTTACCTTTTTATAATCTGAAGAACCTTCTTTCGCCCCAAAGAACCTTTTGTGAAACAGAAATGTTCTTCAGATGTTAAAGGTTCTTTATGGAACCATTTAAACAAAAAGGTTTTTCTATGGCATCGTGAAGCACCTTTATTTTTAAGAGTGTACTTTACCATTTCTCTGTAATTGTTTGTGAAATTTACTAACAATTTCTGAGTTCAATAAAATTGGTTACTTTATTTTTTGCCTCAAATGATAGGTTGCCTCCTAACAACAGAACTCAGGTATTGCCTCGGCAATGGGGTGGAGGGAATATTTAGGGTGTAGAGTGGCCAATGTCAATCTGAGGCAGAGTGCTGATGGGAGGGCATGCTGGCTGAGTGAGCGCTCAAGCAGGGATAGGCAGTTTAAGACCCAGCATGCAGCCGCTGTGAACACCCTAAAGGTCTGCCGCTAACGCCACTCATTCCAGATATGTGCACCTGTCAGAGTATCCACACCTGTCACCAGCCCTCTCTCTCTCTCTCTTTCTCTGACACACACACACATATAGACTTTATATATAGAGTTAGCCACTCACAGGATGTATGCTAAAGACAAACACCCATTACTCAGAGAAAAAAAAAATGCTCACATGTTGCTCTTTCATAGCTCAGGAGCCTAAGTGGAGGTCTCAATTATATGTCTCTGAAGCATCATCTTTTTCTCAGGTTCATTTAAATAAATAAAAAAAGTGAGATAACTGACATACAGTAAGAGCACAGAGCAATAAAATTAATTAGTACAACTCAGATAATGTGATCTTGGAAAATGTTAATGAAATTTTTTTTTACTTTTGATTGCAAACTTTGGCATCTTGGCAAATATGAGCATATTTTAATTACCAGGTTCAGTTTCTCAGTAGAAGTAGATTCAAGCAAAAGTCTTCATTTGACCTTTATTTAATCTCATCGCTAATAAATATTTGAGACTTTAAAAAGATCTAATTAAACAACACATACATTTATTATAATTATATAATTTATATATTAAAACAGGTAATAATGAATAAATGTTATAATCATACAATTTACATTTTATAAATAAATTAAATTAAATTTGTATTAATTTGTTCAACTTGTGGACAACTTGGAATGTTTCAAGGTCGACCAGTGACAACAGATCCATTTGTTCCCCATTAGTCTACAGGGGTCTGTTTCTAAGTATGGGACTTAAGTGGGGATTGATAAAAAGCTAAAATGCACAGAGATAGTCAATAGAGAACTGTGGAGGGATGAGCGGTGTTACAGAGGAGGCTTCCGTACCGCCTCCTCCTCACCACCAGAGGGAACTCTCTCCTGAATATTGACATCCATTCGGAGTCCAGTTCCCATCATGCCTCATACCTGGGACTGATTGCACGCACACACCTGCATTGAATCACGCACACACACATATAAGCCAAACACTCACAGCTACTCACTGTGAAGTCTTGATTTGCCCCGGCTGTCACTTCTGAGCGTTTACCCTGTATCTTGCCTATTCGTTTGACCTTGGACTGTTTATCGTATTCTGATCTGTCTCTGCCTGCCCTGACTTGGATTGTTCTTCTACTGTGTCTGTCTGCTGCCTGCCTTGACCTCCTGCCCATCCCACGTTCTGTCTCAGCCTAGCCCTCGCTATTGTATCT